CCCCCCCCCAGGCCAGCCCCCTCCCAGGCCAGCCCCTCCCAGGCCAACCCTCTCCCAGTTTAGCCCCAGCCGCGGCCCAGCACCTGGGTTTTCCCGGGGCAGGAAGTAGAAACCAAGTCCAGGGCCCCAGGCCGTGGAGGGGTCCAATCCATGTGGTGCAGGGAATATTGAGCCCCTAAGAAGACAGGCCCCAGGGGAGCACCCGCTGGCCGTCACTGGGGCAGACCGCCTGGCCATGCCTCTGCTGCCCTTCCCAGGAGGGAGGAGCCCGGAGGCTGCCTCTGGAGGGGCTGGGGGAGCGAGGGGTCCAAGTGCCAGGTGGGGCCCAATTAGCGGGTCACCGCTGGGCTGGCAGAGGCTGTACCCCCAGGACACAAGAGGAGGCGGGCCCGAGGGCAGAGAGGGTGGGAGTGTGGCGGGTAAAGGGCAGGCCTCCTCCCTGCCCAGAGGCACCCAGGACTTTCTCTCCAGCGCCCCATCTCCTTCCTGGGGTCCTGCTCCGGGGAAGGCCATGGTTCACGGTTACTGCTGCTCCCTTTCATCAGGAGCCCCTTCACCAGCAGGTTGGTGCCACCTCGGGCTGCACAGGAGGCTGGGAGGGCGGGAAACGGGGCACTGGGGCCGCAGTCACTGCCCTACACAAGCCGGGCTCTGAGTGAAGAGGGAAGAGTGCCGCCATGCGTGGGCCTCAGAGCCCTCGAGCTCACAGAGCGACCCGCCACTGGAGACCCCTGCCCCTGCCAGTGTTAATGGCAGCCTGGGCAGTGGCTGGGGGACTGAGGCTGGCACCCGTGCCCCAGGATCCTGAGAGGGGAGCCTCTTCTCCTGAGTGTGGGGCCTCCAGCAGCTGGTTCTGGGGCTCTGAACCGCCTGGCTTCCCCCCCACATCCAATGTGAGCGGTCCCTGACCCTTCCCCTGTGAGTGCTGAGCCTTTTCAAATGACTCCTCTGCCCCTGTTGAGATAAATGTACACATTTTCTCCTTGGCTCCATTACAGGTATTGATCGACTTACGACCTATGCAACTTACGACCATTCGACTTTACAACCACAATCGCTAGCCAAGACTGCTCCGCGTCTGGCAGTGCAAACGTTGCCCAGCTGGGCGTACGACAGTGCGGACCAGCTTCCAGCAGCACTACCATCTCCACGTGCATATAGCCTACTCAACTTACGACCAAATCGTGTTACCGGTGTGTTGGAACCAATCGTGGTCGTAAGTCGAGCACTAGCTGTAATGTGATGACTTCCATGATAGGTTTTCTTTTTTCTTTTTCTTTTTCTTTTTGAGACAGGGTCTCACTCTGCCTCCCAGCCTGGAGTGCAGTGGCACAATCTTGGCTCACCACCTCTCAGGCTCCAGCGATTCTTCTGCCTCAGCCTCCACAGTAGCTGGGATTACAGGCGCATGCCACCACGCCTGACTAATTATTGTATTTTTAGTAGAGACGGGGTTTCACCATGCTGCCCAGGCTGGTCTTGAACTCCTGAATTCAAATATTCCACCCATCGTGGCCTCCCGAAGTGCTAGGATTATAGGCGTGAGCCACCGTGCCCAGCCTGTGACAGGTTTTCTAATTCAGATTGGCCTTGCGTTTGTGGAGTGGACGGTATTGGGCTGCAGTGCGAGCTGGGGTCTTCCCTTTGCCCCTCCCACTGTGCCCGGCCTGCTCCCCTCGTGCTCTGGCTGGGGGGCTGGCGTCTGCGGTCTGCAGTGGGCAAGCGCTCTCTTGTTTCTTCTTGGGCACAAAGTCAGAGGCAGAACAGAGGGACTGAGCTTGTATTTTCTTGGCTCCCTGTCTTTGGGGTCACCTCAGTGTTTTAGTTGAAATTATGTCCTTCTAAAACTCATATGGTGGCTGGGTACAGTGGCTCACATCTGTAATCCTAGCACTTTGGAAGGCCCAGGTGGAAGTTTAAGACCAGCCTGGGCAACGTGGCGAAACCCAGTCTCTGCAAAAAATTAGCTGAGCATGGTGGCACGCACCTGTAGTCTCAGCTACTCAGGAGGCTGAAGGGGAAGGATCACCGGAGCCCAGGAGGTGGGGGTTGCAGTAAGCCATGATCACGCCACTGCACTCCAGCCTGGGTACAGGGCAGGATGCTGTTTTAATAAATAAATAAATAAATAAATTCATATGTTGAAGTCCTAACCCCTAGTAGCCCAGAATGTGAGTTTATTTCGAGACAGATTGTTCAAAAAGTCAATCAAGTTCAAATGAGGTCATTAGGGCGGACACTTAATACCACCGGTGTCCTAAGAAGAAGAGGCGATCTGGACTGTCCACGTGAAATCATTGAAAGGGGCAGAATCCAGGCCGCCCAGCACTTCAGGAGGCCGAGGCGGGCAGATCACGAGGTCAAGAGATCGAGACCATTCTGGCCAACACGGCGAAACCCTGTCTCTACTGAAAATACGAAAATTACCCCGGCGTGGTGGCGCGCGCCTGTAATCCCAGCTACTCAGGAGGCCGAGGCAGGAGAATGGCTTCAACCCGGGAGGCGGAGGTTGCAGTGAGCCGAGATCACACCACTGCACTCCAGCCTGGTGGCAGGGCAAGACTCTGTCTCAAAAAATAAAAAAAGGATCAGAATCCAATTTAAAAGAGTATATGCAGGCACGAAGCTGAGAATACCCACTTGGGACACAGACTCCAGAGGATAAGGGCCAGTGCCACAAAGACAAAAAGTTAAGGTCCTGCTCATCTAGGCAGAGAATAACGAAACTGAACAGGACGACAGTGTTTCCCACACAAGGCTGGCTTATGGGTCACAGCAGTTTGATGAATCACATCTTGTTTTCTTTTCCTTTTCCAATTTGAAGGGGTATATGGAATGTTCTGTCTTAGACAAAGTGGAGGCCAGTGAGTCTCTGTGTAAGAGAAGTCAGGAGGCCGGGCGCGGTGGCTCAAGCCTGTAATCCCAGCACTTTGGGAGGCCGAGGCAGGTGGATCACGAGGTCAAGAGATCGAGACCATCCTGGTCAACATGGTGAAACCCAGTCTCTACTAAAACTACAAAAAATCAGCTGGGCATGGTGGTGCGTGCCTGTAATCCCAGCTACTCAGGAGGCTGAGGCAGGAGAATTGCCTGAACCCAGGAGGTGGAGGTTGCGGTGAGCCGAGATCGCGCCACTGCACTCCAGCCTGGGTAACAAGAGCGAAACCCCCTCAAAAAAAAAAAAAAAAAAAAAAAGAGAAGTCAGGGGGGAGCGAATCTATAGTGAAGATCAACAGGAAGCGGGAAGGGGTCTTCCCTGGTGTCCCATAGTCTTTTACAACATTTTACAAAACAAAGTAGGTAAAGAAAAGGCTGATCATAATCAGAGGAACGAAGGTTACGGCGGCCTGTCACACGCAACTCAGGTCCCCTAATCATGTTCCTTGAAGATGCAAAGTCATTTACAGTTGCAACAGCTTTGGTTTTGAATGGCTTCTTTTTACAGGACGCAGACAGGTACAGTGGGAAGGCGACCGGAGGAGCCCGGGGAAAAGATGGCCGTCCACAAACCAGGACCAGAGGCCAGGAGCAGATGCCCCTTCCTGGCCGCCCATGGAGCCAAGCCTGTGCCACCTGGGCTTTGGACTCGGCTTCCAGAACTTCGAGGTGATAAACGTCTGCTGTCTAAGGCACCCAGTCTGTGGTAGTTTATGATGGTGCCCATAGCAAGCAAACACCCTCAGGGTGGCTGCGTCCTGGGACTGAAGGCCAGAGCTGCCCTCGAGATGCTCCGGGGTCCACTCCCGCCATTGCCAGCCCGACGCTCCCCACTGTGATTGTCCACAGCTTCGTAAATAAAAGCGCTCCTCGGACTGTCCCGCCATGGGTCCCGCCTGTTGGGACCCGGACCGATACATGCTCTACCGTTTTTTTAAACCTTTTAAAATGTATATATTTTATTTAAACAATAAAAATTATATTTTATTTATTTAACCAATAAATAAAATATAGTTTATATTTAAAATTTACATATAACAAAAAATAAAAAATAAAATAAAATTTATATATAAA